TGTTCTGCCTTGAGATATTACCACTAAAAAAACCTCAAATATACAGATATGTAAATGCTCCTGTATATCGTATTAAAATAACTAATGACTAGGCTGCAATTCATTTTTGAGGTTCAAAATTGGTTTCATGGATGTGCCCAATTTTGTTATAGGCCAAGTTTTGAAGTGTTAATGTGCAGAAACAAACACCAAAGTAACTTTATTTACCTTATCCCCTGAAACGATTTTTTGATATTCTTCCTTCAAATGCTACATATCGCTCCCCTGTTTTAATGGTTCCTCACTATATAAATTCCAAACTCCTTACAACAACTTACTTTAAAGGCCATTCATGGTATGACCTTGCTTAACTCCTCTAGATTCATCTACCATTCCATTCTTGAACACTATGCTCCAGCCTGAATGGACTACTGTCAGTTCCCTGAACTTGCCCTACTCTCTCTCTCGTGGCTTTTTTATATACATATTCTTCCTTGCTTAGAATATTCATCCCTGTCCCTTTTTTCATCTAGATTATTCCTACCAAGATAACTTCACCTGGGAAACTCTGCTAGATGTACCTCAGTCACAGTTAGATGCCTTCATAGTACCAGGCACCTTCTATTTTTCTGCCAACTACATGGCCTGACTACCAATGGCTTGCTTTGTATTTCTACCTAGGCTAAGTATTGCGAGAGCAGAGACCATGTTTGCCCTAAACATTATTTTATTTTCAGTGTCACCTTATAATGTGAGCTCCATAAAGGCAAGCATCTTTGCCTGTTTTGTTTGCTGATATTACCCCAGAATATGTAACAGTGCTTGGCACATGGCAGACAGTCAATAAATATTTGATGAATGAATGACTGAGCTATGTGTTTTACATACTGTCATTTTGCTTTTAAAGTATATTAATCATACTCAAAATAATCACATCGGTAGATATGAGGTCTTACGAAATATTATAAAACTTTTCTTTTTTTCAATATAGTAAACAAATGAGTAATGAGTAAGTATAAATTAGTTTATCTTTAAGGGTAACTGTCAATTGAATTATATCTTCCTCAACCAATAGCAAAAAGTATTAGTAGCAGGAAAAAAGTGAACTTTGAAACACTTTTAACCTTACAGCACTGAAAAGGTATTCACTTTTTTTTTCTCATCCCTGTTAACATGCCTCTGTGCCAGAAGAGCTCAGAATATTCTGTTACCTCAGAAATCTGATAATGACTTTCCTAAAAAAAAAAAGAAACTATTTCTAAGAAAGCTAGTAAGAGCTTTTAATTCCTCTAATCTTCGTCCCTACTATTAGTTCATATGCAAAAATTTGAATTTCTCCTCTTTACATGTGAAAAGTAAATTATCACCTTCCCAGTTGTTTCTGGAGGTCTAACATATACTGGTAACACTGTGCGTAGTAAGTCATCTGGGCTTCTACAAAGTCATTCAGACAGCGAAGGTGATGGGCCTGTGAAGGAAAATTATAGTCAGTTCTTATCTCTATAGTCAACTTAAATGGCAAATGCAAGGGGGAGACAGACCACAATATTGTACTGAGGTAGACTCACCAGTATCTAACATTTTACTACAAGGCTTATTAAGATTGGCCTTGGTGAACAGTACACTAGCAAACTCTGCTTAGCCAATAAACACCAACTGTATATTTAATGAGGGTGGGAGAACTAGGTGATAAGATGTAAACAAAAATTTTAAATATTTCTTCGGATATATTGGAAAGTAACAATTTAAATTTCCTTGATGAATGACTGAGAAGTTCAGTTTTTCCTCCCAAAATTGCCTTAGGACTACCAAAGTCTTGTTCCAGATGAATTTTCAATGAATGAATACTCACATGTGTACTGCTGATTCCCTCTAGCAGAAGTCTGGTAATCTCTGCTTGACGATCAAATTCACTTTGAGTTATTCTTAATTCCTGTTCAGACTTAAATAAGAATATAGTTTTAGAATCTCTTCAGAAGACTCAGTCCATCTTATACACATTTATTTTAGACAGTTAAAAAAAAAAATGCCCCAAACAAACCTCAAGTTATAATCTGGCAATTCCCCAATTCTGCTTTGTATCTAAAATGGTTCCCTGGTTTCTAGACCTTAGCTTTTCTGTATTACTCCACCTGGACAACTGATTCCAGTACTTGACTCAAAAGAATCTGTTACACTAAAGCTTAATAATATACTCTTAAGAGCCTAGAAAAACTACTAAGAGAAAGTCAAGACATTTTCATAAATTTTCTAGTATCAACTTTGCTAAATTTTAATATTTTACAAAATTTTAAGATGACCACTTTTACAAGTATAAAATAATATTGCTGCAAAAAATTCTCAATTATTACTATAGTTTTTACTTTGAAGTTAAAGAGTCTTCAGTCTCAAATGCAAAAGACTTTAGAGTGACGCCATAGGATTTTCACCTTGCGTTTAGTTGCCAAACACTTGTTGCTAGCACCACAGTTTTTAGGTTCATTCAAAGGATTTTTTGTCCTACATTTTAAATGTCTTACTTTTACATTTTCTTTTCAAACTATGCATAAAAAATGCCTTAAGCAGAATACTATCTATTAAGATACACTAGGGTTTTAAAAAGCTTTAAGTTATGATTGAACTTCAATCAGTGGTATGCTGTTAAATTCTTCTCCAAGAAATAAAAAAAAAGCTCTCATATCCAGATTTTCATGACATAAATACTACCACCACAGCTGATTTCCAGCTACTAAGGTGAAGTCACATACTGTGGAGCTGGGAAGAGATGTAAATAATAGTATGCCACTATTGGTTTCAACCATCTGATAAAAGAGGCTTACTGCTGTGACAAAACAGTTCACTGAAAAATCAACAAGATCTAAAAATAGCAAATAGTGGCAAAAAACATTTTCTCAAATCTTTAGTCAGAGTTGGTTGTTAATAAGTGGGAAAGAGAAATAAAACCTCACAGCTTACTCAGAATAGTTAGCTTATTTCCCACTGGGCATTATCATTGGTAACATCATCATTATAATGATATGTTTGACTACCTCTCCAGCACAAATAGCATTTTCCACCTATGCAAATGCTTTATGACATTTCCAAGATGTAATAAAAAGTAAAAAAAAAAACAACAACAAGGTATGAACTTTTTTCTTTCAGGCCTCATCTCCCTCTCCTCACCCTTTGTTAGCAATAGTTAACCTAGTAAGCCAGTCTACAAGGAAGAAGCAGCAAAGTAGATAATCAGTTGCTATAACAGCCCACTGGCAACAACCCCAGCAGGGGGGACTAAGAATTGACTTCTAGCTTGGACTTATGGCAATAAGCTTGAATTAGTAAGTCAAAAGTCGAAATTGAATTTACTTGACTAAAACCAGAACCCATGGTTTTTTGATAGCAGGGACAAAGTAAGCTTCATTTGGAAGCTAGTATGAAGTAGAAAAAAGTCCCAGAAGAAAAAAAGAAGCAATGTTCTTCCTAAGGAGAGCATTAAGGAAAACCAATCACATCAATGTTACACATGCACTATTTACTGTTCTGCTTGAATACAAAAAGGCTTTGAGTGACAGAAGTAAATACAGCAAATCAAAAATAAATGCACTTCATAAGTAAACTAGGCTAGTCCCATATAGGTCTTTGATTGTGAAAGTATGGTTTGATTTAATGGTCTTTAGTAGAAATGGCAGAAAAATCCTACTAGTTGACATTATTTCTAGGTAAGGTGTAAGCAAAAAAACTAGGTAGCAGATTAAGGTGACCAGGAAGATTGAGACTAAAGTGGAAATAATATTTTAATGCTAAGTACACTGAATAAAAAATATCAAATGATCTCATTAAGGATGAGGGATCAGCTTTCTAGGTTTGAGTAAAATTTAATCATGAAGAAAGGCACCATGTTACAAAGCTTAGGAGGTCCTTCTGAACAATCTAGACTTTATTTAGAGAGGGTAGATGATAGGGAAAAATGCATCTCATTTCTGGAATAAGTTTTAGTGCATGTTTGGTGGCTTCAAATAGTCAAATGTCCCAAATCATCTATACTTCTGGCATATATAACTGTTCATAATTGATCTGAGAAGCTAAAAAAATTTAAATTAGGTTTAGCATAATCAATTTACTTTGGAAGAAAATTATCCACATTAGAAAGATAGATAAGAAAGGGCTGATATTCTGTCGTCTAAAAAATCTCAAGGGAAGAGACTTTCTACTGCTAAAAATAACTGCTACTAGACTACATGATAGCATAACATGGGTTAGGTAAGCTAGAAGAGTTTTTTTTAAACGTAACTGGAAGATGGGCAAGAATCTGTTGGCCCATGATATCATGATTGGGTTTTCTGTAAGCCATAAATTTTGGTAATGCTTCTGAGGCATTTGCTGTGACTATCTTGATCAGTGTTGTCTACTATTCATATGGCTTAAAATCTTAAAATACTCCAGGAATATAAAGTTTTAACATTTATACATTTTCATTTATTTATTTATTTTTTTGAGACAGAGTTTTGCTCTTGTTGCCTAGGCTGGAGTGCAATGGCCGATCTCGGCTCACTGCAAACTCCACCTCCCAAGTTCAAGGGATTCTCCTGCCTCAGCCTTCCAAGTAGCTGGGACACCACGCCTGGCTAATTTTCTATTTTTAGTAGAGGTGGGGTTTCACCTTGCCGGTCAGGCTGGTCTTGAACTCCTGACCTCAGGTGATCTGCCCCCCTCGGCCTTCCAAAGTGCTGGGATTACAGGTATGAGCCGCTGCACCCGGTCATTTATACATTTTAATTATAAAAATGTCAGAAGTGACGTGTAGAAGAAAAAAATCCCTCGAATCCATTTTGATAGGTTTCTTTAGATTTTATATATACGTATATAATATGTTTCATGAGTTTCTTCCCATGTATTGTATCAATTTATTTCCTAAACTTGCTGAGACTGCAAAATCAAGTCAGAAATTTTCTGGCATATCTTTACGCCAAAGAGGAAGACATTCTAGGTTTTTTGTTCAACCTATATTCTCTTCTGTGTTGCTCTGCCCCTTTTCATGCTAGAAGTTCAGGAAGAAATCAGAATCCAGTGTGGAACCATAACTAAATTGATGAACAGACTTCACAAAGGGGGATAAGAGCTTAAGGTAAGAATTTCATACTGGAGATCCAAGTCATAGAATCAATAGCTCTACAACCTATGCATAAAACAGACTGTATAATCAATCCTACAAAGCCAGAAAAGAAAAGTTAAAGTTTATAAAGCTATTACTTGTCAGGGGCCACAATCATCACCTGTCCTCAGCCCCCAGTGTTATCCTCATGTAGATGTCAGAGTTTGGTAGGCCCTAACATAAGAAGGAAATGAAAAATGCTTCTGAAGACTTCAAAAAGCATTTGAAACAAGTCTGCATGTACTACAGTTTCTAATTTTATCCCTTAAATTGTTGTTTAATTACTTGCTTTCCCAGCCCACAGACGATTAGAAATGGTAACACAGACAGAAGAACTGCTAGCAGCAGTCACAGACAACTTCTACAAGAAACAAGTCTGATACTGAGGGAAGAGACAACATAGTTGAAAAACAACAAATTCAATTGTTAACAGTATAATAAATGTTAATAATGACCTTAACTATAGTAAAATCAAATACTTGCTATCCTATATTTAATGCAGCAGTAAAATACATTTTTACAGATTTTTCAACTAATGTGACTGAGAAAAATTAGCTTTGGTGCTGGAGAGAACAAGCTTCAGTTACCTAAAAAATTCACTTGTGGCTGGGTGAGGTGGCTCATGCCTGTAATCCCAGCACTTTGGGAGGCCAAGGTGGGTGGATCACTTGAATTCAGGAGTTCGAGACCAGCCTGGCCAAAATGGTGAAAAAAACTGTCGCTACTAAAAATACAAAAAATTAGCCAGGCGTAGTGGCAGGCACCTGTAATCCCAGCTACTTGGGAGGCTGAGACAGGAGAATTGGTTGAACCCAGGAGGCAGAGGTTGCAGTGAGCTGTGATTGTGCCATTGCACTCCAGACTGGGCGACAAGAGCAAAACTCCATCTCAAAAAAAAAAAAAAAAAAAAAAAAAAAATTCATTTGTGCGAAATATGATACATCCCATTCTCTGAAGATACAGGACATGGTGTTAACTATATTTTACATTTTAAAAATTGTCATAAAAAAAATTAACAAGCATTTCACCTGCCTTCTATAGTAAGGAACTGTAAGATTACCACTTAGTACAGGTATCTAAGATTTATCAGTGTGTGTGCAAACCACATCTCTGCAGCATTGTTCAACTGCTTGGTGGAGCTTCTATTAGTTAAAGAGACCTGAACATACCCATCATTTTCAGATTTTATAAGGTATAGTAACATAGACTGTGACTGGACCCATGGTGGTTGCCCAATAAATATTTACTGAATCAATGTCAACTAAATTCTTGTTTCATAGTTCTGTAGTTTAATAATTTACTTACTTTTGTCACCTCCTCTGCCCAAATCTAGCCAGCATTAAAAATTAGAGAAAAATATAGAGCATGAAAGTTGGAATTTATTTTCTACAACTTAGTATAGATAAATATAAATACTTGTTTAAATGGCATACTCTTTTTCAGAATAATATTAATAGATTAAACACAGTAGTAACTAAATCAGTACAGCTTAACATACTGTGTAAGTATGACTTTGATATGTATCATTACTATCAATTCTAAAATCTTACGCTAAATCTATAAATTAACAGTTTTCCCAAATTGAGAACACCTAATCTTTCTTAGCTCCAGTATTCTCATCTGGAAAATTAGAGATTTGGACTAAATGATTTCGAATTTCTCATTTAAGTATAAATTATAAAATTTTAGGAAATGAAGCAAAGCAAGGATTAATGGCTGCTGATACAGCCTTTTTGGAGAGAAACAATAAGCTGGAGATATAATAAATATAAAATTACCAGCTGTAAATATATTTTACTATAAGTAGGTTACATTAATAGTAAAAACAAATGATTAATGAAACAAAGTCCTGTTAATTGTTTTTAATTATGTTTTTACCTGAGACAAAAAGAAAAGCTATGCTTTATATGTTAAATTAGCAATGACTGAAATATTCTCACCCTTTTCATTTACCTATAGATAGGACAATGGAAACACATTAATGCATTCTCTTGCTATCTAAGGTAAGCCCTAATTCAGCCAGGGCTTCAGTAATTACAGTTTTTAAAAAAACAAAAACAAAAATGCATTTTATATATTCTGTACAATAATCTTTCCTATTACTTTCCTGCTTTTAGTTTAATGCTAGTGAATGAAAGCAGCCAATTAATTGCCAATTTATTAGCTGTACTGCAGATCCGTTGATACTTCTAATGAAGTAATATATCTAGAAATAAAACACACTATATCTATACATTTTTATTGGCTAATGTGCACAACTGTTGGCTATGTTCAGATTTTACAACTTTCTATTTTACTAAAATAAAAAACTTCTAATAGTTCAAACATTTTCTCAAACTAAGCTCAACATATACATTGGATACCATAAAACAATCTGCATTCTCTATTCTTTCCCAAGGCTATCACCATTCCACCAAAACTTTTGTAAGTGAGTTAGCACTGGATGGAGAACAAGCCTGGCCGTTACAGGAGTACCTAATCTAATGGGGTCTGTCTTGGCCTGAAATGGCAGAAGAAATTAATTCTATGTTGAGTTTGGGTGAAAATAAGGTAAATCTTGAAGCTACTGAGCAGCAAAGTCAAAGTGTTTACCTTACACCTTTCTTTAAGTATATTTTGTTAATTTTCTTTGCCAAAAGTGAAAATATAAATGCCAGCTTAAATTAGCATCTTTTACTCAGGGCAAAAAGGCACTATATAAAGTTCCAGTATCACTTCAGCTAGTATTTTTTCCTCATATTTTTGTTGTTAAAGATAATGAATACATGGTTTCAATTTCAAAATTTTACATGCAGCTAATAGCAAGAGAAGGCACTTTATTCAAGATGTAGAAAACACAGTAGGCCAACAAACCTTCAGCCATTTTACATGCAGGAAGTTGAGCATGTAAGAGAAATTTACCATAATGTTATCTCCTTCAAGGCGAGCTGAGTTTAGTTGCTTAAGTTCATAGTAAGAGACAAAGAACACATTATACCAGTGAACACAGTGAAACAAATTACTTCTGCACAATAAATAACACATTAAACAAGTAAAAGAGCCAATCAAATATTTTTTCTACTTAAAAAAACCCCACTACATTTATTGTTCTATGAAACTGCATATAGTGGTGCCTATTCATTTTTTTCCCCAATATTCAAATTTTCAAAACAAAAAAATATGTTGATGCTTGACTTTAAATGAGAATCATTTAGGGAAAATGTATCATTTTTAAAACTGTCAGTTACCTACAATTTTTATTAAATTTTCACTAAGAAAGTCCTTCTGCCTACCCCAAATTTTCCTATTCAAAGATCATTTCTATTTTATGAATTTATGATGCCTTCAACCACATTCTCTTTCAATCAGCCTCAGCCAGGTCTTGGCATACTCTGAAGTCTTAAAGGCATGTCAATCCTTGTATTTCTAATAAACCTTAAATTCAAACATGTGTTCTTAAAGGCTATATGATGGTGCTCTAAATTTATTGAGTTTACAGATTAAAGATTTACACTGCTGTGGAAATGCTTAAGTTTGCTGTATGATGTTAAAGAAATATTTTCCATCAAATTTGGATGTCCCAAAATAACAGAGGCCTAAACCACTAAACACCGAAGAGCTTTGAAACCGGCTGATTTTTATCTTTAACATTACTACAACTGTAAAATAATTTTTAAGTTTAGATTAGACTAAAATTGGATTAGTAAATGTAGGTGCCTTATAATTGAAATGCATTACAGTTTTGTACCCCTTAGGTGAAATGCCTGGGACCAGAAGTGTTTCAAATTTCTGGTTTTGGATTTGCATTATACTTACTGGCTGAGCAACCCTAATGTGAAAAGCTCCAATAAGCATTTCTCTTGAGCATCATAAAGGCACTCAAAGAATTTCATATTTTAGAGCATTTCAGATTTCAGGTTTTTGGATTAGGGATACTCAACCTGTAATTATTTTTGTTCTTGCTTCTCTGGTATGTTTTATCATATAAACAATCTATTTTTCAAAACTGTGTTTTTGTTCATTGTGAAACATTAAAGTTGGCTTTCTGCTTAATTGGTATATTTCTGAGAAATGCCTTTGATGTTGCTTTACCATTCTTCAATATGCTAACTGATAAAACAGCAATATTAGATACAAGCAGAAATTCTTTACTGATAGGGCTAAATCATCAAAAAGTTTGATCTGTTATACCATATAGTGAACTGAGAGCAGCAGATATTTTACATCATTTATCTATGAACTCCTCAGTAGAGTACCCTGTACAAAATTAGCATCTAGTAAACATAGAACTCAAAAAAAGTCACAAACTAGTAAGTAAATTATTTAAAAAGTGCCAATATGGAGAGATCCCAAACCTTACTGACAGAGTAACTAGTTACAAAATAATTAATCCATGGAAATTTATAAAGATGTGAAATCAAAGTAAGTCTAAGGTTAGATTAACCACTTCAGTTGCCAACTAGGAACCAGGAAATGTATCAAAGAAGGAAAAAAAAGCAAACCCAAACTCCTAGTGCTTCTTCAAGTAAATGGAAGAGAAATACAAGGGGGAAAAAAAGGATCACCAAATACAGGCATACCTCCAGGCTTTATGTAATAATAAACTAAGAGAACTTTTTCTTCCCAAAGTATTTCAGACTTACTGCTATAAAGTTTGAAGAAAAACGAGTTGGTTATCTAGAGGAAAAATACAATTAAAATCAGGAAATTGAACTTTGTCTAGACTAAAAAAACAGTATTTGGCTAGAGTTAAATTTTGCTTTATGTAATACATAAGTTCTAGAAGAGCTGTGTATAAATAAAATTGTTGAACTGAATAAAATCATTTGTATCATCTTTTACTTTAAACATAAATTCCCATAGGAAAAAAACCTTTATCCTCAAAAATACACAGCAGAGAAAAATTGCCAAGATCTTTTCCAGATATCTCAAAAGGGAAACATCTCTCAAAATTGGTCACTATTATATTTAGGTCCTATATATTTTAATAGTGGTAAAATAATTTAGAAATATTAAAGGACTTTGTACACTGTTAAATCTATATGTGCTTTCCGGAACTTTTCCAGGTAGAAAAACAGACTGTCATTCCTATAATAGTGCTTATTAAACAAAGTTTTGTACTGAAACTTGGTAACAGTATTTTTATTCCACAATTATCACTGGGCACATGTAGGCATCTTGAATAAAGACATTCTGTCCCAGTTAAAATATTTATTTCCAAATGATCCTTAAGTTTGTTCCTGATTATGAAATTATTATCTTTAAAAACGAGTTTATAATTTACTTTTCAAATTCATTATTAGCAACTAGAAACTAATAAAAGAATTCAGTGTCTCCTGCTATCTATAGTGTTCATTTTCAAAGTTCTGATGCTGCAGATAGTCTGTTTAGGGAAGTTTTGCTGTTTGTGGTGATGATGTAATGATAAACCGTGAAGTGAAAATGCCAGTAAATTTGGAATTAATGTCTTATCAAAGATAGCTCTTCTCTAGCAGTAACTAATACAGTGTCTCCAAAAAAGAAAAAAAAACATAGAAAAAAATAACTTATTCTGCTCATACAAGGTATTGGGGTAGTCTCATAAGACATTACTATCCAATACCAAGTTAATCAGTTTTAAATTTCACTCGAAACCAATTTTCAACGTTTTTATCCCCCAAACAAGAGAACTATAAGACAGTACCAGCACTGTGGTAGTATGCTCATGAAGGCAGTGATTCTTGATGTTGGCAGTGGTAGTGACTTCAAAACAGAAGGCGGGGTAATATACCATAGCTCAAATTAAGTATTAATTTATTAGCTTCTTCTAAAAAATTCATACGTGGCTTATTTTGTACTATTTTAAAGTTATTACAATTCAAATCTGATGTTTTCAAATTCTGGAATGACAATATAGACAGTATAACTTGGATTAACTAAAAAGCTTATAAATAAATCTTTAAAGAAAAATTTAATTATTATATTTAATGTATACCTACTCAATATTCTGAGATTTTCTGGAATATATACTACAATTTATTTATCCAAATGAGTTTCCTCTCACTCAACATCGTTGCCTGAAAGTCCATACTACCACTGTTCGTTTGAATGGTTTTGGAACTATTCTTGGTAAACATTCTTTTAGTTAGTTTGAGCAGTGTGTGGAAAGGGAAGTGAACTAATGTTTAAGTCAAATACAAGTATTCTCAAACTTGAGTCTCATCTTAATTACTATCTTTTTTGCTATTTCCAATTATAATAAATCTATCTCCAAAAATACTTGTCACCACTGAGGATATTTAAAAAAATATGACACAACATTAAGAGCTACCATAATTTTTGTTTTTTAGCAGCAGCTGTACAGCTAAATATCACGTGTGTATATATATACATATACATACATATATACACATATACATATACATATATACACACACACATATATACATATACATATATATATATTTTTTTTTTTTTTTATTTTAAAGACAGGGTCTGGCTCTGTTGCCCAGGCTGGAGTGCAGTGGTGCAAACTTGGCTCACTGCAACCTCCACCTCCCATGCTCAAGAGATTCTCTCATCTCAGCCTCCTGAGTAGCTGGGACTACAGGTGGGTGCCACTATGTCCGTTCATTTTTGTACTTTCTGTAGAGAGACGGGGCTGTGTCATGTTGCCCAGGCTGGTCTCGAACTCCTGGGCTCAAGCCATCGGCCTGCCTCAGCCTCCCAAAATGCTGGGATAACAGGCATGAGCCACTGTGCCTGGCCATGAATATCACCTTTTCGATACAACTACTTTGCACTGATTTGGATGTATTAAGTTCTGATAAATTTGTTTAGAGAGCACAAAAACAAGACCCTAAAGTTAATAGTCTGTATCTTTCATGGTATATTAGCAAAATATTTTACAAATCTTAAAGTTATTAATCAAAAATATTTTTCTATTTACTTACTGAATTTCTAGTTTCTGCAGCTTTTGCCTTTTTTAGTCTCGTTTTTGCAGCATCCAAATCCAGTCTCTTATTTTGCAATAGTTTCCTTTCTTTCTATAAATATAGAAAAGAAAAAATAAAGGCTAAAGATGCTAAAATTTTGTAAGAGCATACACATTTAAAGTATTATTCCCTAGTAAACGTATGTATCATTTGATAAAGATCTATGATTACAAACTTGGCTATAAAGTTACCATTCAGGTATCTGGCCTCCCTTCCATCCCCTTGTTACTGTTTTAAATTTTAAAATAATTGAAACATTATAAATGTCTGGGAAAGATGGCAGGCAATGATGGAAACAAAGGAATATCAGTTTTAATATTTTGTGATCCTATTCCGCCTCGGGAACATTTGGCAATACCTTTTTGGTTGTCAAAACTGGTGGAGGGATGTTACTGGCTTCTGCTAGCCAGAAGCCAGAAATGTTGCCAAACATTCCACAAGTCTATCTCTACAAGGAATCCTGAAGCCCAAAATGTCATTAGTGGCCAGATTGAAAAACTGTTTCAAATTGTTACAGATTATCCAGAAGGTGCCTAGAAAGAAGGAAGCATAGGCCTGGGGCGAGGTTCCTTGATGCCTGGTGTCCTACACCTCAAGGATTGGGCAGGCTGCACTTAATGTGTCATAGCACCAAATGCAACCCAACCACTCCAAAATGGAATTTCAAATTTACAGAATAATGAATAAACATTAGTATAGTATCTTAGAATTATTCAGGAATTTCTAGCTTCTGTATAATATGTAAGTTTATTATAATTCAGTTTGCTTTAATCTTAAGATTCCATACGTCAAATTTCATTGCACTAAGCTAACTTTTATTTTATTTTATTTTATTTTTTATTTTACGTTTTTTGAGATGGAGTCTTAGTCTGTCCCCCAGGGTGGAGTGCAGAGGCGCGATCTTGGCTCACTGCAACCTCTGCCTCCAGGGTTCAAGCGATTCTCCTGCCTCAGCCTCTTGAGTAGCTGGAATTACAGGCACCTGCCACCACGTCTGGCTAATTTTTTCGTATTTTTAGTAGAGATGGGGTTTCACCATGTTGGCCAGGCTGGTTTTGAACTGACCTCAAGTGATCCACCCACCTAGGCCTCCCAAAGTACTAGGATTACAAGCGTGAGCCATCGCACCCGGCTGCTAATATCTTTTAAATCATACTTTAACTTCGTAGTTCTTCTGTCTCAGGCCAAATACTTATTTATACAGAAACAAATCCATTGTGAACATATAGAAAGTTTCTATAATATTCAATAATATATTGTAATAAGAAATTTGTAAATTAAAGTTTGAAGTATTTATAATAGCAGCTTTGTAAAAATCTTAGAAAATTTTCATTCTCTATCTCTAAGAAAATAAGTTAAAATCCTAAAAAATGAAGAGCTACATGGTATACTATGGTGATATTTTAGACCGTATTTTCATAATCATTCCAGGAACCTCTCTGTAGATTTTAGTGATGGTAATGAATGAAAAGGGA